GGAAGGCCCAAGTTGAACTTTTCATGGGCCATATTTTGTTATAGCTATTTTCATATGTTTTGTATACATCATGTTAGTATAGGTATCATATATTTTGGTCTTGTATTTTGGACCACATAGAGTAGCATTTTAGGTTTTAGGCTTGTTGGGCCTAGTTTTGGGCTTCATGGGCCTTTGGGCTTTTGGTACCCAATATTGGGCTCATTTTCATTCTTGTAATTTTTCCTTTCCATTGTATTTGTTGGACCATTGTATTTGGGTCATTAGAGTAGGATTTAAGGAGGAATATTAGTTTAAGAGGATTAGGCAAAATTAGGTTTAATTTAGCATGCATTTAAGTTGCATTTTGAGTCACATGGATTATGCCACCTTGGCTGAACATGTGTGACTTAAATTCAACCCTAAATGCACACTAAATCAAAGCCAAATGCACCAAGAAACCATGGGACCGGTCATACACATGTGTGACAAGTTTTGAATTCAAATTCAAATTTGAATTCAAAACTTGGCGCCAACATGGTGGCCACTCATGTGGCGCCAAGTGTCCACCTAATTTTCGGAAGCTATATGTTCCCTCCTTCACCTTATTGTACTCACTTTGACATTTATGAAATTTGAGAGCCATAGTTGCCGAATTTCTTCATCAAAGTCACCTTGAGAATTCTCCTTCAAACCTTAGGAACTTACCTTCTTCCTTCTCTTTGAAGTGAGCATTCCATTGTTCTTTAAGCTTGGATGCTTCCATCCAAGACTTAGGCCTATCTTCATCCGTGAATCCTTCATCCATCAAGTGTTCATTTCGTTGGTTTCCATTTCCTTGAAGGAGATCCGTGCATAAGGAGAGCTAAGGAGAAGAACACCTACCACTTCTCCTAACCTTCTCCATCAGGTTTATACCGGGGGGTACATTGATGGAAAATTTTATGGGAGCATAAACCATGATCAGTTCTGATATCAACTTGGGGGAGGTGTTGGTTTGATTGATTTTGGGATCTCATTGAGAATCAACCTATTGTAGATACAGAATTAGGTAGATACAGAATTAGGGGTTTGTCTGCTTTGTTGATAGGGCTGAAGCTTTTATCAGGCTGGAGGGCTCAAATAGTTAGTGTGTGCCATAGGATGGTTTGAGTATCTCTTGGATTTTGTTTAAGGTATATTCAGACAATATACACCCCCTGAGCTGTGAGCTCAAGAGAAGCAATGAAGCCTGATAAGGGAATACACATCAGGTTTGACTGAGTTGTACCCAGGTGGTACAAAGTTCTTTAAGCTCTAATATCCAGACAATATACACCCCCTGAGCTGTGAGCTCAAGAGAAGCAATGAAGCCTGATAAGGGAATACACATCAGGTTTGACTGAGTTGTACCCAGGTGGTACAAAGTTCTTTAAGCTCTAAGCTCAAGAGAAGCAGTGGACCTTGATAAGGGAACATGTCAGGCTTATCAAGTCAGATCCAGACAGTACACCAACCAGACTCTATTAAATAAAATTTAATTGCTTCATAGTAAGAAGCCTTAGCTAACTAGATATATAGTCTATACATTAGGGTCTTTGGCAAATACATGTGCAACTAGATTTGAAAATTTAAACCAGACATAAACCATTTCTTCCTAGAAAAATTAATTAGTATCATCAATTTCAACATACAAAGCAGGTGAATCTTGACACGAGACAGAATGATCAGTTTGGCCCATTGAAACCATCTAATATTATAATAGTATATATCTAGAATCGTGATTTCATAGAAGAATACATATCCTAACACGCATTTGCATATAAAATAAGATAAATTAAAGACTAATCAGTTTGTACGACATCTGAATAATTATAACAAGAAGTTGTTCCACCACATTAACTTTCTTTTTATTTATATAATTTTAACATTGTTCTAGATCAATTTGATTTAAAATATAAATACATAACACAAGCCAGCAAAAAAGATTTCCCTTTGATCACTAGTGTATTTTCTAATTTTCTTTCTTGTACCTCCTTTATTTATGTATATTATTCTTTGAAGAATAAAAAAATCAGAGTGGAGTTCAACAATAATAATTCACAAAATGGAAATATATTTCCACCATCATTGATAAATCTGACATAGAATATGAATTATTAGCATGATACAGCACTTACGGAGCCACATGAGTGTTGACAAGTGTGAAATATATCTTCCAAAAGTGTCTTTCTTTCATAGCACGTGGACATAGTTCATATCTCAATCTTGAAATTTCCTGCAACAGAGTAATTATAATACATAAAGCATTATATATTAGCAAGCTTGTGATAACTGCATTTTCAAATACACAAGTCTCCATGCTATATTACTGGTGCGGTGGTAAATGATAACACATTATTGTAATATTAGAGAGGTAGGCGTTACTTTTAATGAATTAGTTTGATCACAAACAAATGTCACAAAGAAATAAAACTTAACTAATCATCACACGGTAACAGGCCAATGGATACAATAGACAGAGTTTCAAGCTTAACCACACTCAACTCATTTCCGACCCTAACCATTACCAACCAATAAAGAAAGAAAGAAGAAACATGTAATGAAAATAATCACCAAAATGAATAGGGAAATACATTCATGTTTGGATAGGAGCACTAATAAGAGAAAAAAGTAAGAAGAAAATTTGAAATATGTTTCTCCATAAGCTAAAACTAACTTGTGCATAAGTTAAAGATAAGATTTTAGAGAAACTAATACAAGAAAGCTTCTAGAGATTAACTTATGCATGAGCTAATTTTAACTTATAGAAAAACTTATTTCATTTTTCTTTGCTATTTTTCTCTCTTAGAAGTATTTCTGTAAAAGTTTACCCAAAGAAACTCTCAGTCATTCACCTATCAGTCAAGCATCATTTTTTTCCCTGGAAAAGAAAGTTTAGTCTGCAAGACTCGTGGTGTGTTGGATTCTACGCTGGTTCCACAGTGGGAACCAAAACTCACATAAGAGTGATATCAAATCACCACCATATTTGAATGTTCACAAACAAGAATTAAACAAGCAATTCATACCTTAAAACGTTGGAAGAAGGCATCCTTATCACTATCTTCCATCGCTCCCCATGTAGGCCATGGATGAAGAAAATGTTGCTTAATGGTCTGTGTGATAGCATCTGTAACAATAAGGGATGGTTCAAACCTAAATACAAAAAAAAGGTTAGCAAAATTAAAAAGACAGTGAATAATGAAAAATAAATTCTAATTTATTCTTACCCTGTCCCAATAGGTTCAATTACTGGGCGTTCATTGGGTGGGGGTCTTTTGCTCCCAAGTCTAAATCATCTCCATTTATAGATGTAGAAGATGATGGAACCCTTGTAGCAGTTGGGGATGGTGTGACTGCAATAAATGGAGATGGTGATCGTGTGAGTTCAACAACTAGCGAAGGTGCTTGTGTGGGTGCAGCAAATGAAGTTGGTGATCGAGTGGTTGTAGCAACTAGGAATGGTGTGGTTGTAGCAATAGACGATGGTGCATGTGTGGGTGCAACAAGTGGAGATTACAAATTATAAAAAAAATATAAATATTTTTCATTCAAAATACTTTTATATTATCATCTATCATCAATAAAATATTTTAATTTGTTCTTAAATATGTCACTTATTCCTTATAAAACAAAATATATATACAAATTATCACAAAGTGAAATTTCTTTATAGCGTTCTAGAAGCAAAGCGATTAATAATAATATTACTAACATCAATATTTTTCAACATTTTTTTATCCATATATACATAAAATTGTTAAAGCCAACTAGCATCAACGTTGATGATTTCAAATATAATTCAGCAAATACATTTTATTAATTTTCTTGTAACGTTGATGATTTCAAATAAATTTTATTAATTTTAGCTTTAAAAAATTAGTCGATCCTTTTAAACACTTTTTTAAGCCTTTCACAATCTTTAGTTTTCTCTTAACTATATGAATCTAAGTTTAATTTAATCATATATATATAAGTGATTTGTAATGTACGAATTTTTATTATTTATATACTTTATTTTAGTTATATCATTATTCAATATAAAATTTTTAACACACTTCGTCACATTTTGAGTGTAAAATTTATAAAACTCTAAATAAATGCACTTAATACGAGAAAAATTTGATAAAGGGTTCACCACCACAATCCAGTGTAGCTTCTTCTTCACCATGTATGTGAACACGATTAATTAATAATTTTCAAAGAACCACTATATCAAACATACTATCACAGTTACACACGCTTTCATCACCTTTCTATAAAGTAAAGGTGTGAAGAGCAACGGATTATCAGAAGGACACACTATTATTAAAAAAAAATGAGCATTTTCTCTTCACTTCCGTTTGCCACATTACAAAAACAAGCATATGAAGTGAAATGCATGAGCATCACAAAGCAATCACACTCCCTCGTTGTCAATGTCCATCTTCTTTGTTCAAAAGGAATAACAATCACACTAACCAAAGGGCCTAATAATAATAAACAAACAAACAAACATAAACTAAAAGACAAAGCAATTTCCCCACACAAGGGATCCAATGCAAAAAAAAAAAAAAAAATGTGAATTTATTTACCTTAACAGTAGTTAAAACGAGAGTGGCGTGCTTCTCCTGAAACTCATTGAGATCCTTCCTCACATTGGATCCCACAGTGGAGACATCAGAGCCCTCAGGTTCATCTGCATTTCCCAACCGCACTCACTCAAACCATTCAAAAACAAAAACAAAAACGCAAACATGTTTCCGAAAATTACCGGAAGTGAGGGGAAAGTTCTGGAACGTGGTGGAAGTGAGGCCCTTGACGAAGGATCTGAGGTCGTCGGTGACGCCGAACTTCTCGAAATCCAGCGGCGCGGCGGCGGGAGGCGGAGCGGTGGCGGCGGAGGCGATGGTGTCGGAGAAGGACTTGATCTGGTCGGCCTGGCGGAGGGCGGCGGTCTTGAGGATGTCGGCCTTCTTGGAGGCCTCGGCGGCGAGCTCTTTGGATTTCTTGGCCGTTTCGGAGACGAGATCGGCGATGCGAGAGGAGGACGGAGTGAGGGATTGGGATTTCTTCGCCGCCTCTTCGGCGAAGGTCTTGGCGCGCTTCCAGAGATCCTCCATTGGTGGCACCGGAGGAGAGAGAAAGAAGAGAGAGAAAGAGAGAGAGAAGAGGAAGGATACGACAGCGTATGGGAGAAGGAGTGGACTGCATGAAATTTTTCTTCGCTTTCCTTTTCAACACAATACTTGATTATTCATTAAAAAAATAACTTTAATTGCTTTCTATTTTTTTAAATCTAATATATTTTATCTCCAACACATTCTATTAAATATCATAAATTTATCTTGAAAACATTCTACTTTAATTATAAATATATCAATAATTTCATAAATTTACTTTTTAATCTATATAAAAAAATTATTTTTTTATAAATAATTTTTAATAAAATTATTATTAGTTATTTTAAATAAATATTATATATGTTATATAATATCTATAACATAATAATATATATATATATATATAAGTGATACCACTTTTTGATTTTCATTTTAAAATATTTTTATTTTTATTCCTATTTGTCATTCTAATCATTGACTCTTTTTTTTTATTTATAAGTATACACTATCTTTTTTAATCATTGAATAATTAACTTCTCTCATTAAATAAAACTACCACAAAATTAAATAAATTAAAAACACACATGTAGGGGCGCAAAGTGTTTATTTTCGTCTTCTATATATAACAATCAATAAAGGAAATACAATTTTTTGTTTTCACTTTTCTTAAGACATAATTATTCTTTAACTTATTAATTTATATTTATCTCAAACATTTTTAGTTTTACCCTTATGTATTGTTTTTACACTTTGTCCATTAAATAAAACCAGTATTAACATATAAACTCAAACATTTAGATTGAGCACTTATCGCTTCTCTTATTTTAATTTTTTCTTCTTCTCTTTTTTACTTTTTATTAAAGTAAAATGTGTAGAGATATCAAGTGCTTTAACTCTATTAGTAATAATTAATAGGTTAAAGTACTTTCAACCTTTATATTTTATTTAATAAAAATATTTAAGAATTATCAATATTTATAAGATTAATTATTATTGTATTTGTCCTTAAATTTTAAGATCTTGAGTTCAAGTCTTATATATGTAAGCATGATTAATTTTTAATATTATTTTTTATTATTTAAAAATTTAAGAGTAAAATTATCTAAAAAATATTTACACCAAATTAGACTATTGCCTTTATATATATATATATAATAGATAATAAAAGTGTTTAAAAATTATAAATGGTTGGTAGTCAATTGGTATTACATTTGATTCACATGGTTCACAAACTTTAAGGTCCTAATTTTGAATCTTATATTTGTAAGAATAAATGATTAAATTTTAATATTTTTTATTATTTAAAATTTTAAGGATAAAATAATCTAATATATATATATACTAAATTATATCATATTTATATATATTTTAGATTATAGATAAATTAGGTAATTGAGATTTATAAAAAAAAAAAAAAATTTACTACTAATCATAAAACAAGTAATTGAGTTTTATAAAAAAAAATCATAAAAGGTAATATCTTCGTTGTTATGCATTTATAACCATAGTTTTTAATACAAAATTTTTATTATTAAATTTTTCAAGTGAAACTTGAGATAGAAAAACATCATTAAACATAAATATTATTGATAAACATATAAAATAATAAAAATCTCCTTGCTTATTTTTTTATATTCTTTTACTGCATTTAGCGGCAGAGCTGGAACACATTATTTTGAGAGGAGCTAATTTTTTTTAACAGTTATATGTAAGTATTTTAACATCATAAATAATTTATTATTATTTATATTTCTTTTATCTCTCTTTCTATCATATTATATATAAATTATCCATATATTTCTTTTCATTTCTTTTTATATATAATTGCATCAATCTATAATATTTCTTTTAATAAACTTTAGGAAGTCAAAAAAACATTCTTTAAAGTGATTTTGATACATTAAAAAAAGAGAGAGAAAGAGGAAAGGAACCATGACTACTCCAATCCCGATCATAATTAATTATATTTCTTCTTTAAATATACATCTTTAATATATATATATATATATATATATATATATATATGTATATAT